ACTGTAGAAGTACAGCAGTGTACTGTAGAAGTACAGCAGTGTACTGTAGAAGTACAGCAGTGTACTGTTTAAGTACATTAGTGTTTTGTTGAAGTACAACATTGTACTGTTGAAGTACAGCAGTGTACTGTAGAAGTACAGCAGTGTATTGTTGAAGTACAACAGTGTACTGTTGAAGTACAGCAGTGTACTGTAGAAGTACAGCAGTGTACTGTTGAAGTACAGCAGTGTAGTACTGCAGTTTAATCTTGTACTGTATGTTTTTTGTTTTATGTCGTTGTTCATCCTGTTCTTTCTGTCTGTCTGCAGGTTTCTTATTTTGAAATCTATCTGGATAAAATCCGAGACTTGTTGGACGGTGAGACATGTCCAATCATTCCTGACTTTGAGACAAAGAGCTGAAGTATACAGTATTTAAACGATGTCTCCGTTTATTTTTCAGTCTCAAAGACTAACCTAGCTGTCCATGAGGACAAAAACAGGGTTCCCTATGTCAAGGTACTCTACCAATAAATATCTGATGTATGTACTATAATATTGGCAAAAAATATTAATATTACAATATAATTACCACAGTATCAGTGCTACAGTCTCAGTAGTACACTATTATTACATCATCAGTATTATCAATGCTACATTTTGTACTACAGCATCAATAAAGAAATATCAGTACTACAGTTTCACTGATACAGTATTAGAATATGTACTACAGAATCAAAAATAGTAGTACAATATCATTACTGCAATATTTGCACTGCAGTAATAACACTAAAATAAGGGTACTAAAATATAACTACTACACTGCAGTATCAATACATGTCAGTACTACAGTAATAATACAAAAAACTAAAATGTTAGTACTACGATATCAGTACAATTTTATTTAAAATACAGTGCAGAAGCATTAAAACATAAATACTACAATATCAACACTACAGTCTCAGTACAATAGTATTAGTACTACAGTAAAAATACAATAAAATTTGTACTACAATATGAAAACTAGAGTAAGAGCAATGGTATTGGTACTAAAACAACAGTAATATCAGCTCTACATAATCCTAACTACAGTGTCAGTAGTACTACTACATTATCAGAACTTTAGTGTCAACATTAGTACTACAATAGTAATGTTCCAGTAGTCGTACCGGACCCTCTGACCACCATCAGCAGGCAAGGCAGCTGAAGTGTATTGCTCAAGGACACAATGACTGAAATGGCTGGAATGGGGGATCAAACCGGTGACCTTCTGGTTCCAGGACAACTTGCCTAACCACTCCACCACATCCACCCACAAAGTATAATTACTGTATCAATAAAGTTGCATTCCAGAGTATATTGTTTTAGTACTACAGTATCAAAGTAATTTTGGTACAGCCTTTTTGCAGTATATTACTCAGGTAGTATTTAGTTGATGTGTGTTTCCAGAGTACCTTAGATGTTTTTTCTGTTTCCTGTCAGGGTTGTACGGAACGCTTTGTGTCGAGTCCTGATGAGGTGATGGACATTATTGATGAAGGAAAGGCAAACAGACATGTCGCCGTCACCAGTAAGGAAGTACCACTAACCCCAGAACAACTGCTGGTGCTGTTCTGAGGGCTGAAAACAGAAAGTACTTTATAGTATTTTTTCCTTCAATACATGTAGGTACGTAGGTAAAGTCAAGGTGTCCTGCTGTTGACAAAGCTGTAATGCTGTGTGAGACCTCTGCAGGGCGCTGCTCTCCTTCCTCTCCATAGATGTAAATATATAGATCACTAGACTGAGCCCCGCCCATCCCGTCCACTGGTACATACACAGCCTCCATACAAACTAACAGATAAACAGCAGCTGAACTGGATCTGTTTCACACATTCTGTCATGTTTTTACAATAAATTAATAATTATGTTAGTTTCATTCAACAATCATGTAAAACAGCAGATTTATACCAGAAAAATATATAATTTATAAGTAACAATGATCTAAACCAGACCTGAAG